CAGGTGAGAGCCATGTTCACCCCCCGCCAGCCTGTGCCGTGCCATGCCAGGCTGTGCCGAGCTGGGCCGGGCCGTGGTGTTGTGGCTGTGCGGAGCCATCCCAAGTCGTGCCATTCCAGGCCATGCTGAACCATGCCAGCCTGTGCTGTGCCACACCAGGCCGTGCCAGCCCATGTTGTGCTACACCATGAGGTGGGGCGGGTTCAATGCCCTGTCGGGTCCTGTCCCCAGCCCTGGCTCGCCAGGCAGAGTTGAGCAGGTCCCACATCCAGCTCAGGAGGGTGCAGTGTCATCATCCAGAGGGAACAGGGGCGTTGTCAGGGCTTGCAAGGGACAAAGGTGGGCTGGGGCAGGCCGCAGGGAGGCTGGGATGTTCTGCCATCCCTGTGAGGAGCTGCACTGCCTGCCTGCCTGCTGGAGCGGGACCACAGGCAGTGGATGCGGGATACCAGGGTCAGAGTCCAGAGGGATCGGGTCTGACCAAAGCCTCTTTTCACAGCATCACCCCCAGGCCTGGGTACCCAGCCCTGAGCCATGGCTCTGCTCACCCACTTCCTGGCCTGTGCCTTTGGCATGGGCTCCTGGGTGGCTGTCAACGGGCTGTGGGTCGAGCTGCCGGTGCTGGTGACAATACTGCCAGAGCAATGGGACCTGCCTGCCTACATCACCATCATCATCCAGATGGCCAACGTGGGACCGCTCTTTGTCACCCTCATGCATCGCTTTCGCCCTGGCTTGCTGAAGGAGGTGGCTGTTATCTATGTGATTGTGTCTGTGGGTGTCTTGGCCTGTTTGCTCCTGGCCTTCTTCTGGGACCACACAACCTCCATTGCTGGTAGGCCCCGCAGCACTGCCTTCATGATCCTCACCTTCTTCTTGGCCTTGGTGGACTGCACCTCCTCCGTCACCTTCCTGCCCTTCATGATACAGCTGCATGCCCGGTACCTGACCACCTTCTTCATAGGCGAAGGGCTCAGTGGTCTGATCCCTGCCATCATCGCCCTGGGACAGGGCTCTGGCATCTTCAGCTGCGAGAACGTTACCCGCCTGGTCAACATCACCAGTGGCAACGAGACCGTGGAGACCACCATCTTCCACATGGAGACCCACTACCTCCCAGCCAACTTCTCCACCTTCTTCTTCTTCCTTCTCATGACTGTAATGATGGTGGGCTGCATGCTGGCCTTCTTCTTCCTCACCAGGCAGCCCAAGGTGTGGGAGGTCTCCCAGCAGCAGCTGTTTCCCAGAAACATCGTGCTGAGCTCATTTGACCAGATCCCAGATGAGGCAGCTGACTCACAGCTGAACAGAGGCTGTGCATGTCCAAAGGATGCCAGGGGATCTGGGGACGTCCTCCCGGAGAAAGCCCACTACCCCTTGGCCAAGCTCATCTTCATCTACTTCCTCACCGCTTGGGTGAGCACCCTGACGAACGGGGTCCTGCCGTCTGTGCAGTCCTACTCCTGCCTGCCCTATGGCAACGTTGCCTACCACCTGGCAGCCACCCTCAGCTCTGTGGCCAACCCCCTCGCCTGTGTGGTGGCCACGTTTCTGCCCAGCAGGTGGGTAACAGGGTGCTGGGGGGCTTTGCAGTGGGGAGGGAGGCAAGGCACTGGGTGGACATGGGTCCATGGTGTGTCTGTACCCTGCCTGGGAGAGGAAGATGGAGTCAGCATGGAGCCATCAGGCTGTGCTGTTGGTCTGTGCCCCTCACCATGGCCATGCTGGCAGTGTTCTCCAGTGTCACTTGCATGTCCCTTGCAGGTCCCTGGTCTTGCTGGGCACCCTCACCATAGTAGGGATGGGCTTTGCTGCCTACAACATGACCATCGCCGTGATGAGTCCCTGCCCGCTCCTCCGGCAGTCCCAGTGGGGCAGTACCACTATCGTAAGTCACGGGGTCCCTCTTGCTTGCGCTGGTCTCTGGGGCCAGCACAATATTGCCTGTCCCCATGGTGGGGAACCCTTGGCCCTTGCTGACTGCTCTCCCCCCCTGCACCACCAGGTCCTCTCCTGGGTGCTCTTCATCGGGACACTCTCCTACGTGAAGGTGATGGTCGGGGTGATCCTGCGGAGCTGCAGCCGCAACGCGCTGATGTGGTACGGGGCACTGGAGCAGCTGGGCTCCCTCCTGGGGGCCCTGCTCATGTTCCCCCTCGTCAGCATCTACGGTTTCTTCAAATCTGCCGACGTCTGCAGCCTGCAGTGCCCAGCATGAGCAGGATGGGCACCCCTGGACAGCCCCTCTTCCCAGCCCACACCCACAAACCCAGCAAGGGCTGGGAAGCAGCACTAGGACTGGGGCAGCTGCGTGTACATCACCTCACTGTGCTCAGCTCGGTGACTTTGTCCCCAGCCTGGGCACAGGGTGTCCCTGTTGTGTTCAAAGCAATAGAAGGTGTTTGCTCAACCCTCGGTCTCCCATGTGCCCGCATGGGTGCCTCCTGCCTGGGCCACATCCCGTCCCTTCCTTCCCTGGGGGGTCTGGTGCTGTTTGTCATCAAAAGTCCCCCAGGTCCCTGTGGATGGGTACAGCCCCAGCTGTGCCTGGCAGCACCTGCAGCGTTCCCAGCCCTGTGCCGTGGCAGAGGCAGCAGCTGCCCCTTGGATGGTGGGTTTGCAGCCGGCTGTGGGGACTGGGGACAAAGGTGGCTCAGGCAGGGCTGGGCAGGACCCTTGCCCATTGGGAGAGGGACCAGGGAGGGGACACAGGGCAGGGGTATTGCACAGGGGCCTCTATAGCAGCTGGGGAAACTGAGGCACAGTGAGACTGAGTACTGTGCCGGTCAGGGGGGTGACACAGGACCAGTGCCAGGGCTGTGCCACCTGGTACCTAGTGGCATCCCAGCTCTTCCAGCCTGGGTTTGGGCCTGGTGGACACCAAGGCACAGCAGGCATGGAGGGGTCAGGAAGCAGCGGCAGCCCCCAGGCCGGGTTGACACCCTGCACGCGCCTGCGCCCCTTCCCCGGGGCACGAGGCCGCCGGGCCTTTGTCCACGTCCC